TAATACACACATAATTCATATCACTTAGACTTTACATTTCCATATATTTAGTCTTTTAAGGCTTATTTATGATTTCTATCATACGATGTTGTTTATATCGTTACTGATAAAAGGTAAAAAAGATCCTCTATCACATAAATAACACACGCATATCTCACAACACTTACATATATGTATCCATGTCTAGATTAAGTTTCATATCTCTATCCATGTACAGGTTCACTACACATCCAGTTCAATTTCAGCCACATATACTCTCCCCTCTTTGATTCACGACTAAACGAATTAGGTGTCTGATTAATGCTTTTAAATTTTTTTTTTATGTTTACTTTCCAAGTCTTTTTAATTAGCCAATTCCTATCCATACATACATACACTATTTAAACAAACATATGCAATCTCATGAAACGACAAATAAAATACATGCAATCTATATTATCATCACACAATCAATAGTCCATATTTTCAAAATTCTCTCCAAAAACTATTTTGTACCAGATCACACAGCAAGTACGGGTTATCCAGATCTCTTGGACAATTGTACCAGATTATATAGTAAGTACAGTGCGTTGTACATCTATACTATGTCACAGTAAATATAGTGCATCCAGATTCCACATGTACCATACCACACATACATAAATTGTCACAATTATACTCACACATATATGTGCATATTACTCTATATATTTTTACACATGTTTATATTAGTACCATTCACACACAACATAATTATACCAATATTCACCCATACTTATACTTATACACGCACACACACATAACAATGTCTAGACATATACACACACACATAAGATTTACTTATTTATACGTATACATACACAATTTACACGAATACATACACATGCCTCATCACGTACATATATATACTACACACACATACATAACATTATATAAATATACCCTCACTACATATTATACATTGATTATATATTTATATACACACTTAGTTATAGTTTGCATACATAAATTCACACAGTATAAATATATTATTACACCAACAAACCTCATCACATATATATGCTAGCACTCACGTACGTATAA